AGAGAGAAGAGCTACCACTTCAAATGAAGTATTCTATTCTTCTGATGTTTGCTAAGGGTTTGTGTTATCTTCATGGTAAACATCCTCCTATTGTACATCGTGACCTCACTGCTAATAACGTGTTACTGACCTCTTCATACTCAGCTAAGATATCAGATCTAGGAGTATCAAGATTAGCTGATATGTTTAAAAAGCATCACCTCACTACAGCACCTGGTAATGCTATGGTAATGCCACCAGAAGCTCTTAAAGATAATCCGGTATATGATCACAAGTTAGATGTATTCTCTTATGGTTGTCTCATTCTTCATGTACTTACTGGTCAATTCCCTGAGCCTACTAAGGAATTTTTACCTGAACCAGGAAGGAAGGATTCCTTCAAAAGAGTATCAGAATGGGATAGAAGATCACTGAAGCTGCATTAAAGATATACCAAAAGAGAACGAGCTCCTTCCTTTAGCTAAGCAATGTCTAGCTGATGATCATACTGGTAGACCAGATATGATCGACTGTTATCATTTTGTGGAGCAGGTTCTATCTAAATATCCAAAAATGAAAAGTAATACAGAATTAATGAAAGAGAATGAAGCAGCAGAAAATTGTTTTTATGAATTAGATGCAGAAGTTAAAGTATTAAAAGCTGAGAGAATAGAGAAAGACAAACTTAAATTGAGAAACAGCTAACTGCAGATAATAAACGACTGACAGGAGACTTAAGTATTATGTCATTTGCAAGTGACAGGTTTACAAAATGCTCTTTCATTGAAAGAAAGAGAATTCAATGATTGCACTCAAGTACTAAAGGGAACCATTAGATGCAGAGATCAACAACTAGTTAAGCAACAAGAAGACATCATTTAACTACTGAAGAAAAGAGAATCTGAATTAAAGGATAATCATTCAACAAAGCTTTCTGAAGCAAAAAAAAACTTTGAATCAAAGCTAGCTGAGTATGAATCAAAGCTGTTTAGATTAGAAAAAGAATATGAAGCCAAGTTATCTGGAGTATGAAGCAAAAATTGTGACTATAGTAGAAAATTATGAGGAGCAATTGTCTGTCTGTCATGAAGAATGTGAGAAAAGAGTAGCAGAAGTACTGAAGGAGTTTACATTGAAATCAAGTGAAACACTTGAAAGTGCAGTTGTATCAAAAAATGAACTATTATCATCTTTGCAGTCTCTACCATTAGTTGACATTCCTTCATATGATATTCAAAGCAATTGAGTAGCCCTCTTTTGACACAACGTCTGAAGAAAGGAGACAAGTGGTTAGTTAGTAATAAATTGAAATATAATTTATAATTATTAATATTAGGTATCTTGTTGATCAAAAATGGCTCAAAAAGTGGAAGAAATACACTGGATTTGATTCATGGGATCAGGCCACTGCTGAACATGCTCATCCAGGACCAATTGATACTGCTATTTTGTTTAAAAGTAAATCAATTTGTGTTGTCAGTGATTTTGTGTACCTGTATACTGGTTTATTTTTGTGGTAGAAAAAATTTTTGCAAACCTTGCATTCTAAGATTTCGCAGAATTAATTTTTGCAAATAGCTTGCAGACTGCACCATGTTGCAATAGAAATGCAGAATTTTGTGGTGAAAAAATTTCACAAAAGAGCAAGAAACCATAAAATCTGCAAAAATATTTCAACACAAAAATAAACCAGTATGTGGTATTATATTTAATCAATACAAGTTTTTTGATTGCCCCACAAAGCACAGCTGCTAATCAGTTATAGTGTCTATACTTGCCTTGCAGTCGTCCCTCTTGTGTTTAATTGTTTTGTGTCAATGCTTTTACATAGACAATGTATCTAAAACATTGAATGATCATCTAATGGAAGAACTGGACTATACATACTACCTGAGCCTGCATGGAATCTTTTACTGAGTTGGTATGGATTATTGGTAGGATCAAGACCTATTATTAGGTAGTAATTAAGTATTATGTATGGTATTGTTTTATTTGTTTATCTTTAGGAATGTAGTAGAGTATAGAAAATATGTTAAGCACTTGAGAGTTGAAGTTTACTTGATTGATTTAAAATTATGTGTACATCCTCACACTAATAATATTAAAACAGGTTCATTTAGTCGATTAGATACAAATTACGTTACATGACAAACAGTTTTGATTTATTAACTGATCTTAGACAAACAATATCAGATTCTGGTTTATATGGAGGACAAGTCAGTTGATTTAATTATGTGTAATTATAAATCATAAATGCTATGTAGATGGTAGCAATATAAATAAGAAATCCAGATGGTACTTGGCCAAGAAAAAAAAGAAAATAATTTGTGGAAACACTGCAGTATTCTTTAAATTACAGTACTTTTAATAAATTTTAAAATTTTTTGATTGAAGGCACATTTTTAGTAGCAAAATTTGTTAGAAAAATATAGTAATTATAATTTTTAGTTTTGAATAATATTAATTGATAGCTCTGTTAGTAACATAAGATCTATACAATAAAGTCACATATATAATAACAGTTATAAAATATAGTAGCACAAGTCCATCATCAATCAAACCAATGAGACCAATAGCTGATTCTGGCAGTAGATCAAAAGGAATGAACAAATACAATAGCAACAGTACTAGCACTGCTAAAATATGTAATCTGTGAATACAAATTAGACCATGGACTGAGAATAAGACCATGAGCTGAGAATAAGCAGGTAGCATAGTAATAACAGTATGTCATATATGTAACTTTGTCTTACTGGTGTCAATTCTCCTGACATTTGACTATTATAATCTCTATTATTATTTTGTTGTTTTATTATTTTTTTGTTATTCTCATAGTAACTTTTTCCCTTTTTGAATATCATTGTTTTTTCCCACACTTATTTTTTGCTTTTTCCTTTCCTTTTCATGTTTTACTATTCACATGCAGTTGCATTTAAGATTTGTGTCAGTTCTTGAAAGATAATTCTCATTATTAATTGAAACACAATTTTAAAATGGCTCTGCAAGTATGAGATGTAACTGCTTGGTCAGTCATTATTATACTGACCATGCAGGAAGAGCCAACCCCTTAGTGGTCTAAACTCTAGGTGCATTTCCTGTTTATCATGGACAGAGCTCGGCTTTTGCCATTACTATTGCCTGATTTAAAGGAGACTGGTAAAGAGTTAGGTCGTGGAGCTTATGGTGTTGTTACTGAAGTAATAGTTAGTGGAACAACCTGTGCTGCTAAGAAGCTTCATGATGTTATTGTACAGGTATAAAGGGAATTAAATTTTGTATGGGTCAGCAACCTACTATCGTACACAATATTCGAACGTTTTTTCTCACAGTTCAGTGATCAGAAGCTAGTGACTATAATTTTATCTTGTAGATCAGATGTTCCTCTACAGCTGTAGCAACTTTTATAGAGATCCATCTTTGCTGTGTTTTTATATATTTTTTTAGTAGAAATTACGAACACATGCAAGTTCGCATAGACGCCATGCATTGTCGTTTACCTATTTTCGCTCAGTAATGAAGTAACTGGCAAACAATTCATCATATTCATAACAAAGCCCTGTCTTTCTGCTCCATGATGCACTATTCAGTTACAAGAAAGAGATATTCTTCACTGCGCTACTAGCCGCCTAGAGTTGATTTTTCGGAAGAGAAGACACACATTTGCATTCGCTCAAATTTTAAATATTAATTTTTATTAATTTTAAAATAAAATTTAATTTAAAAAAATATTAAATTTTTTCTTTTGCCCATTAGCTCTCAACAAAAAATTAAAATAAAAAAATTGAAAAAAATTGATCGAATAGATCTATAGAGGTGTGTGTTCTCTTCACTCTAGCTCAGTAAAGACTAGCTCTTTCTTGTAACTGAATAGTGCATCATGGAGCAAAAAGAAAGGGCTTTGTTATGAATATGATGAATTGTTTGCCAGTTACTTCATTACTGAGCAAAAATAGGAAAACGACAATGCATGGCGTCTATCTGAACTTGTATGTGTTCGTAATTTCTACTAAAGATTTATTATAAAAACACAGCAAAAACTCTATCACAAGATAAAATTATAGTCACTGGCTTCTGATCACTAAACTGTGAGAAAAAAACATTGGAATATCGATGGTGTACAATAGTAGGTTGCTGACTCTACTATAAAAAGTGTACGTAATAATCTAAACCATTAATTTTTATAGGACTTTACTTTAAGAAGATTTGGTGATGAGGTGCTTCTTCACAGTCAGCAAAGGCATCCTAACATTGTCCAGTTAATTGGTGTCTATTATCCTCCTCATTCACAATTACCAATGTTAGTAATGGAGTATCTTCCTTTATCACTCACACAATGTCTGGAGAGAGAAGAGCTACCACTTCAAATGAAGTATTCTATTCTTCTTGATGTTGCTAAGGGTTTGTGTTATCTTCATGGTAAACGTCCTCCTATTGTACATCGTGACCTCACTGCTAATAACGTGTTACTGACCTCTTCATACTCAGCTAAGATATCAGATCTAGGAGTATCAAGATTAGCCGATACGTTTAAAAAGCATCACCTCACTACAGCACCTGGTAATGCTATGGTAATGCCACCAGAAGCTCTTGAAGATAATCCGGTATATGATCACAAGTTAGATGTATTCTCTTATGGTTGTCTCATTCTTCATGTACTTACTGGTCAATTCCCTGAGCCTACAAACCAGTTTGTTCCTAAACCTGGTAAGAAAAAATCCTTCAAAAAAGTACCAGAATGGGATAGAAGATCAAACTACATTAAAGATATACCAAAAGAGAAAGAGCTTTTTCCTTTAGCTAAGCAATGTCTCAATGATGTTCCTAGTGATAGACCAGAAATGATCAACTCTTGTGAATTTGTGGAGCAGGTTCTATCAAAATATCCAAAAATGAAAAGTACTATAGAATTAATGAAAGAGAATGAAGCAGCAGAAAAACATATTCGTGAATTAGATGCAGAAGTTAAAGTATTAAAGTTTGAGAAAGTAGAAATTGAGCAACTGAGAATAGATCATGAACGACTGACAGCAGAAGTAAAACACTTACAAAGTATTTTTTTATTGAAAGAAAATGAATTAAATCATGTACTACAGAAAACCGTTAGGAGTAAAAATGAACTTAAGCAACAAGAAGACAATATAGATTTACTGAATAAAGGAGAAGTAGATTTAAAAGAAGAGGATTTGATAGAGGTGACTGCAATGAAGGAGGTGACTGCAATAAGAAAACACGAGCAGCAGCTATCTGAATGTCACAAAGAAAGTGAGGTCAGAGTAGAATTAGCTAAGGAGCAGCAGTCCAAAGCATTGACTGTAGGCAGGTAAGGTCCATATCTTGTATGTATATTTGTGTACATGTAACAATGGGAGAGTGGTAGTGTATTTTTAAGAATAATGCAAGATTAGAGGTCCAAATTCACCGAAAAGATACAAACTGTAGGTTAACAACAATTTCCATTTTCTCATTCAATAATTATAACCAATCCAATCAATTGATAATTATTACATGAATAGTAGCAACATTGATAGTGTTTTTACATACATGTATGCCAGGTTAATTGATATAGATGCACAGATCCAGTGCAATCCATATGAATGGTGCATTGCTTGTGTAGGCTTGCCTCATAAATGTTTTACACTTGTTATTATAATTTTTGTGTAATTTTAGAAAAGAAGAGTTTGTTAGTAGTAATAATGTTAAGAAGGTTGGCTTAGAAAGTGAAAAGTAAGTTCCATTGAACTCGTGTACATGTATGAAAATAAAATGCAATCCAACTAATATTATCAATCATTTTGAGGATTCTCAATTGGTATATTTTGCATTATTGGCCTGAATTTTATTCCCAAAATGTGTGTGGTGAATAATTTTAATTTCATAATTTGGGAACCATGAATAGTAGTGTCCTTGGTCATCTTATACATTACAATGTAGCTACATTCTGAAAATCATTTTAATTTATTTATATTTTTAGTTGGTTTTTTCCTACATTATCACGTGTCGAAGCTGAGACTATACTCAAGCAAGAGGTAAGCATTATTACTATAATCATTGACACTACATTGTAATCACTGTAGAATAAAGATGGAACTTTTGTTGTTAGAAATTCCAGTCGAGAAAACTACAATACCGTATCATTATGGTATGCCTACTAGTTTTTTTGATGTTGAGATGGTTAATGAGATTTTATATAGCTAGTATTTTTGAAGGAGACAAATTTTGGTAAATTGCTAAATTTTTGGTGAGTGGTAGGTTTTAATTGGCAAATTTGTGGCCATGTACCATTGAGTATGTGCTCAAAATGATGAATTTTGTTTCAATGAATGGCCAAATTTGCCAAAATTTTCCCCCTCCAAAATTACCAGTATACTATAAAGTCATGCTATTGTAGCAGGCAGGGTTACCAAAAATAATTAAAATTTGAAAAATTATGATAATCAAATAATGATTATGATTACCTACCTCCTCATCTTAATTGTAATCAAGACTAGTAGTCTACTCTTGATTACGATTATGTGCATATAATTCTTTCATAAATTAATGGCGGTTATTGGTAACGTGGTAGCGTTACTAAGTAGGATTCACCCCCAAACAAAATGGCTGCCACGACTTTTGCAGCCTTGCTATACCGGGAAAACGAGCTCCTATGCTCACCAGACTTTATAGAGGACCTTATCTTGACCAGAGGACTCCAATGGTACCACTAGCGTGGCTCTAGGCCCTGTCTAAGAGGAAATTAAAAAATCGGCAAACCGGCCGTTTTGTTCAGCCACCTTTTTTCATTTTCATCTTCATACATCATCAGTTCCCTTCAATTTTTAAGAAACAGCTGTTTTACACAGTAATTCTGTATCATTTTATTTATTAATAATGTTCAATTTTTTATGATTCCTAAACCTTGATAATGAATTTAGACTATTAACTTCAACATAATCTCGTAATTTTTCTTGGCAAGGTCCAATCGTGCAATGTGGTAGCTTCACCCTTAGTTTTTTAATTCCTCGGAAATATCCTCATTGATGTACAACCTAATGTACATTGAGACTATAGTCAAAGTTGTCTCTTTTTTTGTTTCCTCCATTGCTATTAGTTTTAAAGGTCAAGTTAGGCATTATCACATTAAAAATGATGAAGAGAAAAAATATTTTATATCTGAGAGACATCGCTTTCCAACAATTATAGAACTTATTGACTATCACAAACTGAATGGAGGAGGTCAGTTTCATTTGAAGCTATGGATATTATTAATACACATATGATCATCATTAGGTTTAGCTACCAGATTAAAACGACCCCCTGCTTTGTTGGTCCCTGATCAACCAGTTCTTTCATCTGCATTTGGTAATTTTTGATAAATACAATGACACATAAAGAATTGTATAAATTGAGATTTTGACAAAAATATTCACAAAACCTACTTTCTTTTATCTTGTTCATTCTATTACAGATGATAAGTGGCAAATCGATAAATCTGAGCTGTCATTAGGTGACGAATTAAGTAGTGGAGAGTTTAAAGTAAATACATTGCTGTGCACATTATGTAGCACAGTTATACCTCTTAAATGCTCATTTTGTCTCCTGTCTTATAATTTGTTTCTTTCCTTTAGAGAGTAGTAATTGGTCAATGGTGTAATAAAGTTGATGTTGCTATTAAAATGATAAAGGAAGATGCAATGAATGAAGATGATTTCATTGAAGAAGCAATATTGATGATGTAAATTTTGCTGATTTTCTGCATCATATTTATGTTCTTGTAATGCCATTAGAATGCCATGCCTGTATAAAAATTTTTCTATAATTTTTATTAAAATACAGCATGTCATTATTGAGGCTGTCTCCTATACATTTTGTATTTCTGTATTTGCAGGAAATTCCAACATGATAATTTAGTAAAGTTATATGGAGTGTGTATCAGACAAGGACCTGTTTATATCATCACTGAATTAATGGTTAATGGTAAGATACAATAGAATTAACATTGAATAATCTTTTTGATACCTTGTTTGTCAGCAATTTTCTCTTCCTCCCCTTTACAATGTAGGTTCTCTACTCCAGTATCTTCGTAAAAATAAACACTTAGTAGATAAGACAGACATAATACTTGACATGGCTCTACAGATTTGTGCTGCTATGAAGTTTTTTGAACAGTCTGGTTTTATACACAGAAATTTGGTGAGTGAATAATTAAAATTAAGTCAGGGGGTTTTCACCTGTTGGTCAGTATAGAAGTGCTTGCTGCATTTATCTTTTAAATATCATTTGCATGATGAGCACTTTCACAGATGCTTCATTTGTTTTTTTAAAGTTATTTCTCATCTTGCTATAGTCCATGCTTTAATTCTGCATGTTTTCCTTACACCATGTTTTTTGAATACACACCCATCTAAACATTAGCCAATTTTAACCAGCTACATGTACCACAAAATTAATGTCCTTCACCAAAATTTAACTTTCATAGTTTCGCCATTCTTTTACACACACCTACAGGCTGCTATAAATTGTCTGGTTGGTGATAGGAATATTGTTAAAGTCGGTGGTTTTAGCTCAGCAAGATTTGTTCCTGACGACGAATACACAGCATCTGAAGGTGCAGAGTTTCCTGCAAGGTGGTCAGCACCTGAAGTCATAACTCATGCTAGATATAGCAGCAAATCTGACATTTGGTCATATGGTAAGCTATTTGTAATTTTAATATTTTATTTTGAAGTTAAGTTGGCACTGAATCAAACAAAATTAGTAATTTGTGCAATTAGCAAGACAAAAAAGCAAAACATGTACTTAATGCTATTAATCATTTTGTCATTAGGTATTTTGTTGTGGGAGTTGTGGACTGGTGGTAAAATTCCTTACCCAGCCTTTACTACTCCTGAAATATTAGATGGAGTAAGTGTGTTTTTTTCTTTTTCTATACTTCTCCATTTTAACCATTTTACCTTTGTTTTCACTCGCTCTGTTTTAGGTTTTAAAGGGATATCGATTAGAAAAGCCTAAATTATGTCCTTCTAATATTTATGATTTAATGACAAGGAGTTGGGAAAAGGTATGATATACATTACAATGTTTAAATGTTTTAGCCAATTATTTCAATTGATGATTTAAATAGCATCTTACACATGTACATGTATCTATTGCAGGTTAACCTACTAAAATTGAACCTACAATGTAGTTTGTACATGTACATGTAATTAAAATTAGTCATATAAAACTATAGTACTGTACAGATAGTCAAATACATGGTCTTCAAGTTAGCATGTTTTTGGCTGAAATTATCACCTGAATACATCAAAATTTTACAGTATAGGGGCTTTGATACAGTTTTACGAGCCTGCAGACAATTCTCCAGCCTACAGTCATTTGAGTGGATGATCCAAATGATCTGGCTTGTGGGGCTATTCAAAATAAATCATAAGTATAAATTAGTATGTTGGCTAAAATTTTGCAGATTTAACCAGCTTAGATTTTTTAAATTCATATTCTCATATCTACAATTATTTATATTATGATAGACTTCACTTGCTGAGCAGATACCATAGATTTGGAAAATTTCATGTTGCAAACAAATAACTAGTAGAAAAAAGTCATGTTATTTTTCATTGTAGAAATATTTCATATGTTAAACTTTGCTGTTAACAATTAAAGTATAATTATTTAACAGTGAAACTTTCCCAAGCTAGAGGTCATTGCTATTACTCATTCTCTGTATACAGAATCCTTTCAAACGGCCATCATTTGCTGTCCTCCTTGATTATCTCAAAGCCATGGTAGGAGATGATTATAGTGATGCGATTGACTAATCATGCACCATTATACACGCATGAACTATTAATTTTAGTGTCTTGCATTTATGTTGCCTCCTTGTGTATGATCTATTGCTGTATGTCATGTGTTTTTTACTTTTAACGAATAAAGACAGTGTAAATTCTACTTTTATTATTGTTGAACTTAAGCTACTTAACAGTATATAATTGTACAGAAATCAGTTGTTAAGTAAGAAATAACACTGAAAGTAGGTCATGCAGAAATCAAAAGATAATTATCATTATTATTTTTAAAAATACCCATAATAGTTTTGCAGATTATTAACTGCTTGACCAAATTATATTCATTATGATTCTATGTATGGGATGGTCAAAAATCCACAGTTATTCTATAGTAGACAACACTATCTACTTCCTGCTAGTCTGTAGTGCTAGTAGTGTAAAAATGGACAGGGCTAAAATTGAGCCATTACTATTGCCTGATTTAAAGGAGACTGGTAAAGAGTTAGGTCGTGGAGCTTATGGTGTTGTTACTGAAGGGGGTTGGTAAA